CTGAAAAGAATTGTTAGCAGAAAAAATGTTAGCCTAAGCACAGCATTTTGCTGACATAAAAGCTGATTTTGGTGACTATGCTGCCCACAGGTTCTTCATTTCAAAAGGGCACACTACCAGGCTGGCTACTGAAGTCAGCTGGGTTGGGGAGCTCAGGCTATCAAAGGCAAAGCTGGCTGGAAGTTCTCTTAAGTCAAAGATGCAAAGACTGTGTGAAATGTGTCCTCCAGTCAAAGGGGAAACATTTTGTGAGGGAGTTCCAGATCAAACTGGCTAAACAACCACATCAGAAAGGAGACGGAGAGCAACTGCAGATACAGGGAATAGAAAAAAAGAATGTCTCGGTGAAGACAGCTTAGAGATCACAAAGTGCCGGGCTAAAACGGGAACTGACAAACGTCAACTTGAGTTAGGCCTTTCAAAGTTAAATGGCAAAAGGTGATTAAGTCACAGAAATAAAACAAAAAAAAAGGAAAGCAGAAGTGAGAAAACTGTGACATTATATCAGGTCAATATGCAAAATCATTTAAACATGGCCTGCAAATTAAAAATTTATTTTGAATGGATTTTGTAACAACAGTGATGTTGACTACTGGGGCAAAGGCAAGGACAGATGATGGGGAATGACTGTGTGGCAATGAAGATACTGGAAAGTGGAAGAAAAATTAATTCCTAAAGAAGACATAATGAATTCCTGTTGTGGGGGACTGGGAGATCTTCCTCTCTAGATTCTGAGGGAAGGGATCCAGGTCACAGGTCCCATCAAGGGCACCCCTGACTCTGCCAGAGCAGGAAAAAAAAACACTGAACAACAGATGAGGTAGGGTAGTAACTATTTAAGAGGAGAAAAGTGGCACTTGCAGGCTTGTTAGCCTGTTCTCAGCAGCACTTTTTGGGAGACAGTAAAGAAAAAAAAAAAGTATTTTCAGTGTATGCAGACCTATGTAGCTATGGGACTTTTCTCGTCAGATCCACCTGAGTACGGAAAGTCAAATGGCAATGTCTTGATCTGCTACACCAAACTTTAATGGTGCTCTAAAAATACTGCTCTTAAATAAAATGCTGTCTTAGCCACCACTTATGCAACCAGCCAAAATGACTGTGGAGCTCATCAGAGCCTGAGGAAGGGCTACGAAACCCCAGTCGGGCTGGCGCAAGGTTTGGGTGATGTGGAAGTGCCATCTAGAGGCAACTGCAATTATTATGAAACTTATTAGAAACAGGGAGCTCTGCCCAGCTCATGGGCAATTTTTATTTCTCCCTGTTTTCCTGGCACCTGAGGTGAGGGGAGCAGGATCAGGGGATCGTGCAGAGGCCAGGGCGGTGGACCTGGCCCAGCGCTTGCGGACGACGCGGGGCACCACCAGCCACCGCCGAGGCCTGGCCCCTCAGCCTGCCCGAGGCCAGGCAAGCTCTCGCCTGGACGCCCAAAGGACGAGGCCCAGGGGACGCATCCTTGTGCCTGCTGCCTCCGGGACACTGCACGGCTGCTTAAGCAGCTCTGTAGGCTGACTCCTTCCCTCTGCTCAGAGGAGACCCTGGCCTGACCCTCTCGCTCATCAGCAGAGCTGAGCCTGGGAGGCAGCTGGGAAAATGAGCACTTTTAATTAATCCAGCACTGGGGCCAGGGCCATGCCCTGACACGAGGCTGCCCCGCAACCAAAGCAGCAGCTTCCTCATATTCAACTCTGTCCTCTTATCAGGGCTTATCTTCATCTCTGTTGATGAAGCCTGTTCTTATCATGGTCCAGCTGCTTCCCTGGCTGCTGCAGTTGGTTATTTATTACCTGCTGCAGCCAACACTACAGCAGTCAGGGAATTTCTGAGGGAAAAGGACTGGCTGCAGGCTTTTACTGCTTTATCCTCTATTTCTCTGCTTTACCAGGATTTATCCCACAACTCTAAACAGTCCAAGAGTTACTCTCAGCCAAACACCTGGGCTCCCTGTCTGGTCAAGAGAGGGAGGAGAGGCTGACTTGTCTTTGTGGTCTGAGACAGCCTTCAACAGTGCTGAGCCCACAGGGGACCCAGGCTCTAAATGTTGTCAGTCATATCCTGGGCTGCATCAGAAGAAACATGGCCATGAAGGCAAGGGAGGTGATGCTCCCCATCTACTCTGCGCTGGTGAGATCCTACCTGCAGTACTGCGTTCAGCTCTGGGGTCCCCCGCACAAGAAGGTCATGGACCTGTTAGAGCGAGTCCAGAGGAGGGCCACAAAAATGATCAGAGGGATGGAGCACCTCTCAATGGCGCATCTCTTCTATGAGGAAAGGCTGAGAGAGTTAGGGTTGTTCAGCCTGGGGAAGAGAAGGCCCTGGGGAAACCTTATGGCAGCCTTTCTATATATAAAGACATTCTTTCTATGACAAAGTGGCCCACCTAGTAGATGAGGGAAAGCCTGTGGATTTGTCTACCTAGACTTTAGTAAGGCCTTTAACACAGTCTCCCACAGCATCCTCCTACATAAATTGGCTGCTCGCGGCTTAGATAAGTGGACTCTTTGATGGGTAGAAAACTGGCTGGGTGGCCGGGCCCAGAGAGTTGTGGTCAATGGAGCTAAATCCAGTTGGCGGCCAGTTACTAGCGGTGTTCCCCAGGGCTCAGTTTTGGGGCCAGTACTGTTCAACATCTTTATAGATGATCTGGATGTGCGAATTGAGGGCACTCTCAGTAAATTTGCAGATGACACCAAGTTGGGTAGGAGTATTGGTCTCCTGGCGGGTAGGAAGGCTCAGCAGAAGGACCTGGACAGGCTGGATAGACGGGCCAAGAGAAACACATCTGCAGCAGGACAGAAACAAAGAGTACATAATTATATAGCAAAGCTGAGAGCAATTGTCAGCTTCTGTATGAAAGGAAAAATCCATTCTGGAAACCAGTAGATTATTCTAAAACAAGTCCAGTTTCAGGATTTGTAAAATCATATAACTGAAGTGCTACCTTGAAGATAAAAAGGAAGAGGAAGAACAATTGTATTCTTTAGGGAGTCTCAGGGAATCAGTTTCTTCACTGACACAGATCCAAGGTGAGATACCTTGAATTACTGATTTCAGTTCTGGGCCCCTCACTACAAGACAGACCTTGAGGTGCTGGAGCGAGTCCAGAGAAGGGCAACGAAAGTGGTGAAGGGTCTGGAGCACAAATCTGATGGGGAGCAACTGAGGGAGATGGGAGTGTTTAGCCTGGAGAAGAGGAGGCTGAGGGGAGACCTGATCACTCTCTACAGTGACCTGAAAGGAGGTTGTAGTGAAGTTGGGGTTGGCCTCTTCTCCCAGGCAATCAGTGATAGGACAAGAAGGCATAGTCTCAAACTGCACCACGGGAAGTTCAGGCTAGAAATTAGGAGGTATTTCTTCACAGAAAGGGTCATTAGACATTGGAATGGGCTCCCCAGGGGGGTGGTGGAGTCACCATCCCTGGAGGTGTTTAAGAAAAGACTGGTTGTGGCACTTAGTGCCGTGGTCTAGTTGACATGATGGTGTTAGGGCAAAGGTTGGACTCCATGATCCCAGAGGTCTCTTCTAACCAAATCGATTCTGTGATTCTGTGAAAGGCTTTTTACCAAGACCTATAGTGACAGGACAAGGGGCAATGGTTTTAAACTGAAAGAGGGTAGATTTAGATTGGATATAAGAATGGTTTGAATTTGTTTGTGAAAGCAGTTTTTGTAGTAGTTTGCCTTCAGTCTGTGTTTACTCCTAGGGTATCTACAACCTCAGCGGTCTGAGCAGTAACACTGCTGTGAAGCAGAAAGGGGTAAAGGACACTGTGGTCATTAGGTCTCTTTTCTCTTGGGTTAACTTCAGACACCCCTGCACTCCCTGCAGCGAGGCACAAGCAGTGCAAGGATTGTTAGATAGCTGCCACTGCACGGGCACAAGCAGGCAGGGTGGAAGTGGAAATGAACAGCCCATGCAGGTGTGATGTTCATCCAAGACCTTCTCCTTTCCAGGCTCTTATTATTTAACCACCACCTATGGGGCCCTGGAGCACATCAAGAATTACGACAAAATCACCGTCACGCGGCAGCTGAGCATGGAGGTGCAGGACTCCATTCACCGCTGGGAGCGACGGAGGACGCTGAACAAGGCCCGGGCTTCCCGTTCATCAGTGCAGGTAGCTGACGTTACTTTCTAGGGAAAAAGCCTGGAAGATGAACATGCTGTCTCCATACTTACTAATATTTAATATGATAATTATTTTTAAACAAAAATAACCCAAATCCTTTTTGAAAAATGAGAATACATACGGTACAAGATTTCCAAATCTTAAAAAAACCCCACATTTTGAAATACATATTCCTTAAAAAATGCATTTTGAAGTCTTGAAATACCCTCATAATGATACGATTTTAAATATGACTGCAGAGTGATTTCATTGTTCATTCTTGAAGGAGGTGTGCTAGGAGCCTTTGCATGTGGAGTGCTGCAGTGGGAAGGCAGAGAGCACCTCTGCTCCATGTCCTTAGGGCCTGGGGAGGTCCTGGGCTAAGCTGAGATGTGAGCAGGCTATGCAGGGGCGGTTCCTAGGTGGCATAAAGCTGTAGGAGGACCTGAGATATCCCAAGGGCTGGTCAGACAACCGTATTCCAGAGCCTGGCTTCTCCGGTGCAGCAGCAGGGCAAATCCAACAAGAGCTGGCTAGCTTTGAAGCCCATGCTGGGTACGGCCCGGCAAAGACCTCCCCATGCACCAGTGGGAGAGGATCCCAGGAGGGATGGGTGCTCTGGGCCTCCAGCCATGGTGAGGCTGGATGCAGGACCAGAGCAGGCAGGGTGCCCTGCCAGCCCCATGTCCTGTCATTAAATTGTCACCCACAGGGAGGCAGCAAAGGCCACGTCTCGGGTTCTGTAAAGCCGCCACAGTGCAAAACTGGAAATTGTGAACGCCGAGGGCAAAGCCGGGGAGAGTCTCCCGAGGGGTAGACACAGTCCCTCTAGCCCTGTGAAAGCATGGGCTTTAATACTCTTCTCATATTGCAGTCAAAACAGTCCCTGATGATCTCAGAACATGTGAATGGTGGCTGAGATACATCAGGTATCCTTCCAGCCCCAGTGCTGCTCTGGCAGTAGCTCGTAGCGAGTACCTAGCATGGAGAATAATAGCTGGGCAAGCAAATGTCACATATCCACAGAAGATTCTCACCGCCTCCAGCAGTCTAAGGGATGTTTTCTATTCCTTTGAATGAGGGGTAATCAGAGACATGTGAGCCCATCCTGGTGGAGGTAAGCAGCTTGCTGAGATGTTCAGCGTGCCCCTGCACACCCCTCTGGCTGCCTTACTCGTCTGCAGCATACTCCATAAATGCAGTTTGGAAACCCATAGTCCAAATATTTGGCAAATCTTCACTTCTTTTGGGGAACCTGAGTATTTTCTCACCAAAAAGGCTGGGAATTTTTTTAAACTTCACAGAAACAAATTAAACACGCAGGTTCCACGATGGCCAAAGGTTCCTTAGATTCTGGGCCTCATGAGTTTGGCAAGGGGAAAGTTGTCCCAACAGCCGTTACTGCCTGAAACAGGATACAAGTAAATCAGCTTTCTCAGCATAACTTCTTCTGCTGTTTCCTTGCTGATGGAAGGAAATTTGGAGGACATGCTCTCAAGCTGCTGTTTGGGTGATGGTGGAGTTACAAGGGTCAACACACCGCCAGCACTTTACTTTTTCTGACAGGGGGTTTTCAGGCCAGATCTCTGAGGTTTTTGGTTTGATATTCTTGTCTGTTACTTCTTTGTGTCCTATTTCTTCAGAAGCTGTAAAAAGGTAGGAGAAGGAACTGTTGCAGGATGATCACTAAGGATATTCACCAAAATCAGAAAAAAGCTTTCACTTACTTGTCTTTACAGGGCTAATTATTTGGTTAAGTGTTTGTTAATTTAAGTATTTGCTGATTCAGAGCTTGTTCATCAGAGGAGAGAAAGGAGATAATAACTAGGGCATTGGAGAATGATTGGAGGATCTTTGGGAGCATTTAGGAGATCTAGGCAGCTACAGCTTTGGGGCTGAATTCTACCTCCTTCGGTCCTAAGTCGCTGTGTTAACTGCAAGACCTATCCTCATGTTTCTCTTCAGGATTTCATCTCTGTCTCCTTTATGGAAATCAGTGCTCAGACAAGGACTCTTGCTTCCCGGCATGACACCACAGCTGAGCAGCTGAGCCAGCAGTGTGCCGAAAAGTTTGAAGTTTCCCATCCCAAGGACTATGGACTTTTTGTTTATGTTGATGACCAGTGGCTGCAGCTGGACAAAGATGCCCTTCCTCACCATATCAAAGGCTCCCTACTGAAGAGTGAAACCAAGAAAGATTTCCATTTTATTTATAAACCAATAGACAATAAAACCCCACCAGTTCCAATTGTCAAAGAGTCAGACTTTCCCTAAGGGCTATGCTGCTCTTTTGTTGTGTTTGCTGTCATCCTGGAAGGGCTGGATAGTTTATCTTGTGAGATCCTCTGGTATCTGCAGACCTCAGAAGGTCTCTGGAGCGTGGTCTTCGACATAGGGCAGATGTGCTAATTGTAGATGCTGTCTGAATACAGGGCATTTCTCAACAGAGTTCATTTGCAGAAATAAAAGGAGCATTCAGGAGACCATTCATCCTCTGGAAAACTTGAAGTATCAAACCTCGGAACCTCCCACTGGCAACCAGCCAACATCACAGAATGTAAATGGACAGTGGAGAAAATCCAGAGATCTTGCAGAAAAGTGGACATTTACTCCATAATAAATTATGGCAGGTGTGAATCACCTCTGTGCACAAGGCCTGTGAAAGGTCTGCATGCACCTCAATCTGTTTGGAGGTAAGACTGCATTTATGCCTTACAGTATCTGTTCACTCCATTTGAATAAACTGAGTCTTGTCTGATGTATTCAGTGGAATAGGCTTGCCGCCTGTAGCAGACCTCCATCTCTGTCTTGCTGTCTACAACACGTCATTGCCTTTGAAAGCCATGTAATTACAGACTATGCAAGATGATCCTGTACATTCACTAAGAGTACATTTTCTGCCATCTATTTGTCACTGAAATCAGGTAGCATAGGCATTTTCATCAATGTATTTTTCTCAAAGATTGAAAGTCTTCACCACCAGTTTTACATGTACAGCAGTTTTAATCACGTTGGTTGTATGATAGTGTTTGGTTAATTGTATATTTATTTCCATGTGTGATATGGTACAATTATTTTAAAATAAGTGTTTGTAAAGAACTTAATAATTTTCCCAGTGTAGCAAACCAGATTAAAATTTGAAAGTCAAAAAGAGATAGAATTTAATACCAGTCCCTTTTTACCCAGATGTCATTTTCTCTAGTGTTTTCATATCCACAAGTCCCACCACGTTGTTACTTTAATAAATTCTGTTGCAGACAGAACTAGCTAATTCTCCTTTCCACCTGTGCTTTCAGTCATTCAGTCATTGCAGACTTAAATTTCCCTGCAAACCTAAATTCCCACAGAATAAATTGAACCAATGCAAAAATGCATTTCATGAAATTTGAAAACTGTTTTTCAGGATTGGATAATGGAAGTGGGAGCCTTAATTGCAAAACAGATCCATGTCTTCTGGGTGCCTTTATTCAGGCAAGATTCCCACTGCGAACACAAGATACTGGATTGTCTGCATGCAGGAGGCAAGTGACCTCCACTGCAGCTACACAAACTTGGGATCAGGCCTAGCAAACTCTGATTAAAAAGAAAGGGTGTTTTACTGTGGGTTTTGCTCAAAGCTGCTATTGTTTCCTTCTATTAACATTCAGAAAAGAATTGGGACACGCTAGGCCAGGTTGCCCAAGGTCCCTGCCTTACTCCTGAAGCTCCAAAGGTAAAATGGTATCACATGTAGCTGGTCACTGCCTCAGTCTCTGGGGCTCAAAATATCCATGTCTACGTGTCCCAGCTGTTGCATGCACTGGCCAAATCGGCAGGGCTGCACAGGAAGGGACAACAACCAAGAATGAGGAACAGTGAATAACAGCAGTCTTGGTTTTGAGGACATCATGTGCAGAGTTTGGAGCGTGTGACACCGGCACTGAGCTGACTCCAAGTTCATGGCTATTTTCTGCTCATGTGCAGCTGTTAGCAGCTCCACCTTACCTCTGGGCAGCACATCCCCAGGATTTGGGAGCTGAACCCCTCCCTCGTGCTGCCATTAGCCTCTTCGCAGGGCAAGCATGCTCTTGCAGGGAGTCCAGGCTGCTCTCAGGGTGGCACTCGGGATGCCATGACCAAACTTGAGATACAGGTTTCCAATACTGAGCTGACTGATGAAGGAGATGCTGCCCACCAGGCCCTGAGGGCACTCACAGGTGTTGCTGCCTCCAGAGCCTCCCCAGGGCTACCCCACCCAGCCCACAGCCCAGGACCCCATTTCAGCCTCCCAGGGCTGGCAGCCCCTGCCCCAGGGATGCTGCAGCAGGGCTGCTCTCCAGCTCCCCACAGCTATGTCCCAGCCCAGCCTCAGCATGTCCCCATCCCCAGGGAGGTGCCTGATGCCCAGGACTGGGGCTGCCCCTGGTGCTCCCCGCTGTGCCATTCCTGGCTATAGCAATGGAACAGGCCCCAAGGGAGCCCCCATGGCCCCAGGAGCTGCTGGCCTCTCTGCCCCAACAGCAGCTTCCCCACATCCGTCCTGCAGGCTGCGGTGAGGATGTCAGCTCTGGCCCTTCTGCCACCCTGCCCTGGATGTCATGTGCCGATGGCTCGGTGGCAGGCCCTCGACAGGGGCTGGGTACAGGGTCCCCTGGGCGCCCTGGCTGTGAGGCAGCGTGGCCTCACCCTGCCTGGCTCCTCAGCCCACCACCATCCCTGCACGTTGGGTGAGCTCATGGCAGTTTCCCTCCCGGGTGGAAGCACTACCAGTAAATCCCTGACACGCAGCACAGAGAGGCTGGTTGTCCTGTTTCCACCATAGGTACCATCACTGATGTCCATGTGTCCCGAGGGCTGACTTGCTTCGTGTTGGCCATACTGAGGATGATCTCAACTGTCGCCCCTGGGGCTGTGGCAGCAGGAGGGTCCAAACTCTGGGCAGCATCACTTATAAACCTTCCTTTTTTCTCAAACTTACCCCACACGCATATTCTCCAAATCCTCTGTTTTGTAACCACACTCCCAAAGGAGACACCCCCCTACACCTTTTGCTTCCCTTCCCCACCCAAACCATGGGTCCAGAGTAGCTCTCAGTCCCACGTCCCACCGGACTCCTCACCACCCTTGGTAGGACTCCAAGCCATGTGCTCATCTCGCCTCCCAACACCTGTTCACAGGTGTCCATGTACAGTGGGACTGGGGGCTCCCCAGCACCAGACCCAGAGATGTGGGGGGTCCGACCAGCAGCTTAGTGCTGCCATGGCTGCTGCAAGCTATTTTAAACCCTAGGAACAAAGATTTATATGTCTGCCAAAGTCCTTGGCCTGATCAGGTTATCTTTATATGTAACATTCACAGCTAATGAGCCTAAAGTAATCTGATGGGCATGAGGCTAAAGTAGAAACATGCAAGCAAGGAAGCTAGGGCTGATCTTCTGCTGGCTATTTCCAGAGAGCAACCAGACTTTGCACCAGCCAGGATCGAGCAACAGATTGATGAAGTGAAGTGCTCCGGCACCTCGCTGACTCCTGGGACGTCTGAGTCAGCAGCTGGACCTTGGGATGAGGGGGAACTGGATTATACAGCTGGTCAGTGGAGCCCGTGGAAACCACGACAGTGCTAAATCACTGCAATCCAAATGGGCTCAGACTAAAATTTACCAAAGCCTGGTCCCAAAATCAGACCTGCAGATCCCACTTTTCAAAATGCCAGGAGTGCCAGCTGAATTTCTGTTGGCTTTTACAAAGGCTTTCAAATTGTACATGCAACATTTTCCTCTGGCATAACAACTGCAAAGCTCTGATTTGCTTTGCAAAGGTTGCCATGGCTCTCCCGAACTCAGAGATTATTGACAGTAATGCGAGCTACTGTGCCTGGCTGTGAGCTGCCTGGAAAGAAATCCCTGTGCTGGGGCTCAGTGCAGAGCGAGGCTTGCTCAGAGGCTGTGGGGCATCTGGCCTGTTTGGTCACATTCTATAAACCGCCAACAACAACTTTGCTAATGATACATCTCTGGGGTACAGGGGTGACCTGGGTCCTCCAGGGCCTGACCACAGCCATCCCTTGTCAGGGACCATAAGCTGGGAGATGACCCAAATGATGGGCTCCTGGAGGGCCCAGGACAGACACAGTTGCCACCTCTCCAAGCTCACAGCTCAGCGGTGGGACTCAGGCTCTGACTGTGCCAGGGTCACATGGAAACAGCTTGTCTGGAATAAAAGTGCTGTTGTTTTCGTGACCCTGGCAAAGCTCTGAGTCCCCAGCATGGAGACTGCTGGAGCAGTTCCACATGTCCTTCCCTCTGGGCCCTGGTGGCCAGGGTCCTGCACTGTTTTGGCTGACATTTCAGGTGGTGAGGAAAAAAAAAAAAAAAGTCAAATGTGGGAATGAAATGGGTATTTTTAAATGTTCCACTGGATTTTATTAATTTGCTTTGCTGTGGGGTTTCCTCATGCTGCAGCCCAGGCGAGGAGGAAGCAGTCCAGTCTGGTGATCTGTGGCCTCCCTTGGTTAGTCAAGATGGTCACGTCATGACTCATGCTCTGGCCCTCACATGAGCCGTCAGCAGACAGGAGTGTTTCAGGAGAATTTGACCAAGTAGGGTTGTGCAATCCTGCCAAGGCCCCCTCAAACACTCATTTGCAGAGAAATGTTGTGCAACGATCACTCATTTACTCACAAGGAAAGGATCCCAGTGTGAGAGAGAGGAAGAGGGAGACCTGCTGA